CGCGAAACTTGAACGTGTCGAGTGGATCTCGCGCGTCTGGAAAGTTCTACGCGGGCATGGTGTTCCAGAGAAATCAACGTTTGAGAAACATGCCGTAGTAGATAAGTTCATGGTTGGCAATTTCTTGCAGGTTATAACTGATTAGTGAATTTAATTCTTATTATCGAAATAGGTTATGCTGTCTTAGATGTTTTTTTCTTCTTTTTCGTGGCTGTATGTTACGAAAGTAAGGTTAGGATCAAAATTGAAGATTATTACCTAACCTAACCTAGTAAGGTTAACGGATTTGAAAAATTATATTTTCTTGAAATATTTTTGGAATTCATGCTAACAAACAGCACGAAGATAACTCATGGTACATCTGAAATTATTTGTACAAGTTTGTCTGTGGAAGATTGGCGAACGTGTATTTACAAATGGCTCCCTTTTTTGTTTCAGGCTCGATCCGCCGGTGACCAGCTCGACGTCCGGGATGGACAGCAAAAAGGTGCGCACAAAATGGTTCTGCTTCTACAAACAAATCTTAATTCAATATTTAAGAACATAGCAAATAAACATACTTACACGTTTTCATTACTCCCTTCTATTCTCATTCCCAGAGAATCATATGAAGTAACCTAACCTATATTACATTACACATATAACCTAAAAAATTTGAAATTAGTCACAAGAACAGTATTATAAAATACAGTGTTATAGAATTATCCTCGAGAATTGTTACTACAACAAATCATCCAGTAACTATCAGTTTTTATACACACATAATCGACAAAATTGCAATCTTATTCCAAAAAAAATTTTCTAAAATATTCCAATAAACTCTCTCCCAATTATACACGTTTTACACATTGAAAGATTGCTGTTTATATTCTCCAAAAGAAGAAACTTCCATTTCCACAAAAAGTCATAATTATTCCATCAATATTTGCCCAAGTATGCAACTTCTCAAGAAACGTTCCCCTAACCTATCTTTCCTCGTGGAAAAATTTATCCAGCCGGTTGCGCACCGAGAGTCTAGGAACTGTGCAGATGCGAATAATTGGGCTGATTAAATCGCAGCGACTAGCAGTTTATCAAAGTGCACCGCGAGATCGGTAATTAAGGAGCAAACGATGTAACTGGAAACGTTTAAAGTTCCCGGTTAATTCAGTGAGATTTCTGAGTTAGAGCCCAGGGCTGCTTATCGCGTCGATTTAATCGCGTTAACTTCAAACGACATCGTTAAGTCTGCCGGGGTATAGTAGCCCCGTATCGCGGTACACGGGCAAACCTTTACAACGACCATAAACCCCTATGACGCGTATCGATTCCTCCAACTTCTCTCCAACTATGCGACTAACCCATGAGCCGATTTTACCTCGGTTGTCTTAATCTCTTCTACGGTGTTGGCCAGCCTTCGTTCCAGATCATGTTTAACAGGGCTTTTAACGCTTTGTCTTTAACCCCTTTGTAACTCGATTTTTCATCGTTCTTCAGAGGGAAATTTACGGTTGATTACTATTTTACATTTTGATGGAAAAAGAATTGGTAATTATTGCAAAGATATTAGCTGTGGATAATGTGATTGTCATAACAGTATAATGCTGTAGTTATAGCAGTAAAGAAGTAAAATGAGATTTGTAAAATATGTAGATAGATGGATATGAAAATGTTTTTTGAGGTTAACTTTTTAAAGGCAAAAGTGTATTTTTTCTTTGGTTGGTATTTAATTAGTTTCATGTTAATTTTGCTTTCAACAGTGATATTTTAGTAATTACAGTTCATGGAACAGATGTTCTGATGTTACAAGTATAGAACAGAAAAGAAAACGTCTGTGTAGGAGGGAGTAATAGGTTAGGGTTTCATGAGGTATAATTTTATGTGACACATGGAGCACATGAGGAGTACTGTAACATGATATTTCATTATGGTTGACAGAAGTTACTCTAACAGTATGCACTTACTGTAATCATATGAAATTTGGTTAAAATATATGAAGGGAGCTGTATAAGCTGGACGTATGTTTTCTAACATGTTAATACTTCTTAATTTTCCTCAAATACCCAATTTCTTTGTATATATTTATTCCTTCAATCTACAATTCTCTATTGTATCCTGTTATTTTACTATCATTCGTTGAATATATTAAAGAAAAACAATGGTCATTGGTGAATAAAGTATTCTTCCATTTAATCTAACCTCTAACCTACATACCAACTTCACTCATATATCCTTTTCACTGTTATTTATCCAAATTCCGTATCATTACTAACTTTCTAAAGCTTCACCACAGAAAGCAGCGAACGTTTAACCAAACAGTGCACGAAAATTCAGCGAAACTGTGCGTGACACTCAGCGCCATTTGTTCGTAAAAAGCTGCCTGCCTGAATGGCGAAAAAACAGCGACAAAGGAGGGCACAAAACGCAGCTGCAACTTTGACCCGAGCAGAGACGGCTTTGTGGGCGGTTCTCGCCTCATTTACGCGAGACAGCCGCGCCAAAAAAAGCGGGGACGCGAAACTTTGTCCGCTTTTTCACCGGCACGAAGTTCGCCGAGTTGCCGCTCAGCGTCCGACGGACTTACGAACTCGATACTAGCGCCACGACGGCGGACTAGCTAATTTAACGATTTACTTGGCCGAATCTCGACGTCGTTTCCGCGAAAGAAAGTTTTCCGGCCGACGACTCCTGTGCTGGGTGGATTCGCGCCAGTTTATCTACTGGAAAAGAAAACTCCTGTTTTCTGGCGTGTTGTCCGTGATGCATTGCGGGGACCACGGACCGTGAAGACTGTCCCGTTTGTTTCACTCGGGAAGTCCCTGCTTCT